GAAGAGAATGTGGGAGATGAGAGGCTCTGTTAGCCATGCAGTATGCGTGGAATGGGACTTGGGTGTCAGGATTTCAGTGTTATTTATGGCTTGTGCACATACATACATACACACCCTTTTTGTATGTCAGAAATTTGGAGACATTCCTGTTAACTAGTAAGGTACTTGAGGGCTTTTGATTCTGCGATATTAGACCAACCTGTTACTTCATTGGGTGTCAAATGTTTAAGACAAGGGAAAGCTGAAGAGCAGAGAGTCCTGAGTGTCAGCCTCCAGGTCTACCACTATGCCACCTAACTTGGTTTCTGGGAAATTTTTTTGTGTGTGTGAGAAAGTCTTTGTTCATGCATGCTTTTTATAAGTAGAAAAATTTTTTATAGGGAATTACGTTGGAGCAGCACTGTCATGCTTTGCAAAAGGGGTGAGAAGTATTTCAAAGATTAGTAAGGAGAAATGCGTTAATGGACAGGGAAATTCTCTCAAGGACAGAGCACTGTGGCTGAGTATTGCCTCTAGAAGATGAACACAGCTTTAATGCTGGGCTCACAGCACTGCTTGCTCAATTAGTGGGTAAAGTAAGTGTCCACCGTGCTCTGTGAGGAGGCTGTCAGGAAAGATGCTGACAGGTTCTTTGTGTTTCAGGATGACAAACTGCCTGATGCTTCAGGCCGTGGTTTTTCCCCTTGAGAGGACTGCAGTCTTGCTTTATTTATGTAAACCTGCTGATTCGCTGAGGGTTGAGAAAGCAGAGAGGGCTTTCTTTGCTTTGAGAATCTGCCTTCGGTTTTGGCTGACTTCCTTCTTCAGCTTAGCAAATGCTCTGTTGTTTGCAGATGGTACAATAGATTCTTGGACACAAAGCTATGTTGAGGTTTAAGAAAAAGCCAGAAATGACCCTGTTCAGTATCATTGCCCAAGTAATGGATACAGGTTTTGTGGGCACTTAAGCGTGTGATCCATTCCCAGGCAAAGGCTAGGTGTTAGAGAATAATTCTCAATCTAGGCCTATCGTTTCATTTCCAGACACGCCTGGTAGAGAAAAAATTAGTTATCATATGTTGTTTGAAATAATTGATATTGATGATAATAGCTGTACTAATTTTTCTGGCCCCTTTCAGGCTTGCTGATTCTAATATTAAAAAAAAAATACATATTTGCCCTGCAGCAGCCATTTGCTCAATCTGGTAAATCTGGATTTTCATATGGGTAATTTTGAAAATGTGCATTATGCACTGAATGGATCACATCAGCTTTTGTTCAGTTCTCTTAGAACTGCTAGCTTTCTACTTTAAAAGAAAAGGCTCTTCTCTCTCTCTCTCTCTCGCTTCTTCCTCCTCTTCCTCTTTCTTTTTGTTTAAGGTGTCTGCAAGCATTCGCAATGCTCCTGTTGGCCATGGAAGGTTTTCAGGTTGAGGGTCATTGATCGAAATGACTGAAACTGATTTTAGAACCAGCTTCAGACAAAACATGCACTCATAAATTGCATGAAAATTCTTGGCAAATCGTTTTGGTTTTAAAAGATTACTGGGTATATATTCCAACTGGGATTTTAACATTGCTCTTGACTTACGTTCTCACCTTTCCCTTTCCAAAGAATCCACTTACTTGTGTGCTAACTATAAACATACAAGTAAAATTATTTTCTTAAATAGTTGTGTAACCAATGAAACAACAGGGAAGTACTTCTTATGTATATTTGGCCTTAGTTAGCCTTGTTTTGAAAATCATTAAGAGGAATAATAGATAAATCTTTTTTTTCTGAGACTTAATTCCAAATAGCTTTTTAGAATATATTCACTTTTAGTTGGAGCACCCTAAGTTTTACGGGGGGCTTATAAAGAAAAGTTAACTCTACCATAATTTTTGTGCTTTTTATTTTAAAGGGAATTAGAAAACTCAGATAAAAATAATGTATTATTGCTCATTCTTATGACAAGTTTGACATGGTATAAAAAGTTTTTTATTCATATTACCCCTGATCTTAGCCATTCTGTGTTTTATGACTCTTTATGTAAAATAAGCTCTAAGTTTTGTCTCTTAATTGTGAAGTAAGCTTATTTGACTTCTTCAGTGTAAGTTTCAAAATGCTGATAGAGATTGCCTGATACCATAACCTGTCTTACAGATTACCAGGATTCTGTTTTGGAACCTCATAAACAAATTTATAGCTTTGGATCAGTAATTTGGGTTGCCATGGTAGGTTTTTAAACAAAAGAGGTGGCTTTTTATATAGGAAGAAGAAATAAACAGATGTGCTAGTGGCATATGTCACTTTGAGGGTGTCCTCTCTTGGACTCCCCTGTTTCTCACAGCAGCCTTCCTCAAGCCAGGTGTGAGGCAGCCTCTCCAATAAGACAGCTGGGAGTGTTGCTGGCAAGTGTTTAGGTAGAGGGAGGTCAGTGGTTGTTCTGGGCTGACCGACATATTCCTTCCCTCTCTTTTCCAAGAGTTATATCCAGGTATATTCACAGATTATCATTTTCCTGAATGTAACCTTGCAAGAGAAATGAAAGAATATAGATTATCCTACTTTTTCTGGAAAACTTTTTTATGTACAAGTTAATAGCTACTTTAAGTCTCAGAGTAAGAGGGCTTATAGTTATAATGATACTACTGATTATGAAAAGTATATAAAAGGCTTTTCTTTGTATAAAAAGAACAAAGTTTTACATACTAACACTGTCTAAGCATCTGTCATTGTCTTCAGTTCTGTCTGGTTTTACCAACACCAATGCCAGACATTGCCACCAGTCCTTGATGGCTGCAGGGAATACAGAACTAAGCTTCTCTGAGCTCAAAACATTGATGTCAATGTGGACAAGTGCAGACCATTTGATTGCCAAGTAACTGAACAAATGGAATAAATCTGTACATGTGTATATACACATGTATATATATGAAAGGAGATGTTGCCATTTCTTTTCAGAAGAGCCATTAGACTTCATTGCTACTGGAGCTAACTCATTACAAGGTTGCAGGTGTTGGTAGAATGAAGGAGTAAAGGCGGTCTGGCAAGGATCGGGTAGGGAATAGGTGTTTCTTTTGGAGATTGCAGTCTAGGGAAGGATGAGATTTTGTGTGGGACCAGACCATTGAATGCGGCAAGCTTTTTGTCCCATGAGCTTTACGAAAGTAGAAGTTACCAGGCAGTGACCCATTAGTTTTGAAGCCAGTGATGAGTAGTAGCTTGGTATAACAGTGTTACGTTAGGAGATAAAGAAAATACTGCTTTCTGTTAGGAAGTGATAGGAAGAAGAGGGCATTTAGACTGGGATTTGTGTTTAGGTTCAGAGATGAATAAATAATTGAAATCTAGAGATTTAAAATACTGATAGTAGGTAGCAGAGATTGGAGTGCAGAAATGGAGAACCGTTGGTTCTTCCACAGTTGTGTAGGTTGGGGCTACAAACAGTTTTTATCTAGGGAATGGGTTTCTTTTGATTTCACTTGAATATCAAATTAGGGACAAATCTACCTCAGTGGGAAGAGTTCTCTTTGTCCCTTAAGATGACTGGTATGTTAAATGATGTTGCTTGAATATTGAACAGAATTATTTAGCATCTGGGACCCTGGAGCAAGATGGAAAATCAGTCAACAGTTCATTCCTGAGTGGCTGTTTTACGTGGATTCAGGGGGCAAATCTCTTGTGGTGTCTACATCTAAGTAGAGAAATCAGTTGGGAGATTCTGGATGCCTAAATGTCTGCTGCTGTTCAGATCTCTTCTTTTTCTGGAATAACTTCAGGCTACAAAAATCCTGATGTCTCTTGGAAAGTTTTTGGCAAGTGCCCTTAGTGAGGGCTTCCTCATCACCGGCCTCTCAGTGGTCCTGCCGGTGCTAGTGCTGTGTCCTGACTGTCCAGGACTGTCCACAGGATACGAGGCTCAGAGTCGGCTCTGCCTTTTCTTGGATCTTAGCACGTGTAATACAAGGCAGTAGAGGAATCTGCCTGTATTCTCAAGCATCTGAGTTATTCTAAGATATGCTTATTGTGAAGGGTCTTGAGGAAGGATAAAACAAATGCTATTTTAAATGTGGGCATTATAGTCACTATCCCTAGAAAATTTGATGGAATGACTGCAGATGTGTTTACTTCTCCGTAAGTATACACAGACTTTCCTGTCCTAAACTTTGTAATGATCTTAGGTTGCAATGTGTAGTTTTTATGTGCCTTTATAGCCACTGCTTTCCTTTAAAAAATTGCTTCTTTAAAAAAAAAAATCTTTACCTGCCATTTTAAAAACCAGCCCTTTAGACTCCATCTGTTGAGAGCATCAAAAAATAATTACCAACCCTGCCATGTCAAATGTAATTTAAGAAAACGCTGTTCTTCCCTGAGAATAATGTAATTTGCTTTACTACATTCTGTCTCTGATTGGATGCTTTGGTTTTCTTTACAATTAGAAAATAAAATGTATTTAGGTTAACATTTAATAGCAAGTTATCCACAGAGATTAGTTTTCTTTTTCCTTGGTTTAGGTGAAAAGGTTGTTGTAATAACATATTCAAGCTAGTTAGTTGTCTTTACGTATTTCATTTATTTCCTCCCAAAATATTTACTGAAAATTAAGTAGCACTTGGCAAAGCCATTTCTCTTTGTGAAGTAGGGGCGTCTGTGTGAATAAGATATTCCAGATTTTGTCTTGGTGTGTAACCCTGAGCAAGTAATTCCCTTTGTTGAAGTTTCTTCATCTGAATGTTGATAATCTCCTGGGAATTCCCCAATTTCCCCCCCCCCCACCCTTCTTCTAGGTCCCTGAAAACAATAAATGAGCTTTATCAGGTTCTTTAGGTTATCAGAAAAGTGGTCAAAAAGAACCCTAAGGGCTGTTTTCCTTTATCTTAAAACGATAATTTAACATCATCTTTGAAACAAATTTTTCCATAAAAGGTACATGCTTTGTCGTTTATTTATTTATTTATGTAGTGGCTTTATGGGCCCTATCTTTGTTCCCTTAAAGGTGAATGCCATTGTTCTAAAATTTCTTTTTTTTTTAAAGACTGTGTGTATATCGAGAGTCGGAGGCCAAACACACCGTATTTCATCTGTAGCATTCAAGACTTCAAATTGGTAAGCATTTTTTAATGTGCTTGATTCTACTCTGTACCTTCTCTTTTTCTAGTTCCACTGGCTGTCTTTCTTGATTGCTTCTCCATGGTTATTGACTTGATAACCAGTTCACCTTCTGGGAGCTAACTGCCTGGTGGCTGTAGCATTCAAGGCAGTTACCAGTTTTATCTTTCCAGTTTTGTAATACTTATGCTCTAAAGCCCCTACTGTAAACACTGTTTCTGAAGTTGTTATCCTTTAGTAGCTGTTTTGACAACAATTTCGGAGATTCTCTTGATTTGCTCAAGTTGTTTGTTTCTTCTGAACCATTGTGAAGAGCCTGAAGTAAAGTAAATCTGGGAATTGGTGAGGAGTTGGAAAAAGAGTATAAATGGGCCAAAGACTGATTTTCTGTCATAACTGTAATTTACTTAGATATTTTAGCAAGTATAGAGTATATCTTAGTGTGTCCCAGGGGTGGAGGTTGGGGGAAGGAAGTCTGGCTTGGATGGAATACCTACAATACTTTCTCATTAAAAACTTTTCTCAAGTACGTAATTGTTGATACTGTCCTTGAGGAAATCTCTTGGTTTTAGACCCAGTGGTTCACACACCTGGGGCTTTCAATCCCTGGGTGTTTGTGGAGATCGTACAAAGGTCTGCCAGTAAGCATTCTTAATCTTAAATAAATAAATAAACCTTGTACACATCTGTACTTTACCAAATGTATTAATACGCTGCTCTGATTTTAAAAATTCATTTAATGACAATACACAGTTAAGAATCACTGTTTATAATGTATTTTCCTCAAACAATTGGTATGTGAAATATTATCAAAGTACTGTCATTTGGGGATCTTTTGAAACATTCAGATCTTAAAAAGGGATCCTTGTACTTGAAGGTCATGAACCACTTACTCTAGTCTTAAGTATAGAGAAGTATTAATTCTTTAGCTTTGTGGAGATATCTTTCAGTATCTACAATTGCTCTTGTTTCTAAAATGCTTTGTAACTTTTGACAATATTTGTGTTCTAACACACATTATATCTGATATTTAAATCTAAAGAGAACTGATGGAGTTTGAGGAGAACTTAAACTCTTTGTCTCCTTTTGTCTTTTATCATTTTTAATGACCCTAAATATCCAATTAATATATTCTGATTTAGCTAGTTTAAAAATTATATGCCATTTATTTTTCCTTATTAAAAATTTATTATGTAAGTAACAGATGCTTACTGTTTTAAAAGAAAGTGAAATGTGCCATTTACTTAAAAGGTCTTTAATTCTTGGTTGGCTGCTTTTAACTTCCCTGGTTGTTTGGCAAGGCAGCCTTGCAGTTTGATCTTGTAACTCAAATGTTTTCTGTTCAGCTTTTATGTCAACATGAAGTTACATCATTTGTAGAGGTCTTTCCTATTTATTATTTATTTCCTCCAAAGATTTTTTGCAGATGCTGCAGTGACATCTGAAAGTTTGGGTGGTGGCCTTGTTTCCTGGCGAGTTTTCTTTTGCTCATGGCTGCTGCTATTGCTCTGTCCCTGCTCACTGTCTATGTGTGTGATTTTTTACCAAACATAATACCAGTGCACCATGGAAAAGACACAGCTATGAAATAAAATCGCAGAAATTTTTCTTTTACTTATTAGATGCCGAGCCCCTTTTGTACATTTTTTGCACGTTAGCAGGTGCTTCATGTTTGAACATCTCTCGTATGAAGTGCTGATTACAGTGTGGTAGCTGCTGTTTGGGGCATAGGTTCCTGCTGAGTTACTGTAATTGCTCAGGGTATTAACAGCAATAAGAGCTGAAGCTCTTCATACTGTTGTCAGTATTGGTCTAGTGCAACACATTAAAGCTGTCTGCAAAAACAATGTGGGAAGTGGGTGCAATGTATTTAGATACTTTTTTCTAAGTCACACACTGCTATGTCTTAATGTTTTGTTTGAGTTCTGTATTCATATTTGTTGTGTGAGAATAACAGAGGTGATGACATATTTGCTTTTGGGAGGAATGTAGTTATTGTCTGGATACCCACTTTCTTCTTTCTATTGTTCGCAGTACTACTTGTGAAAAGATAACCTAATAGAGGAGAATAATCAGATTTTTTTTTCCTTCAGCCTACTGAGCTATAAAGGGAAAAGATGAACAGAAGGAAAATATGCTTTGTTTCTCTGCAAGATTGTAAAATGAAGAAATTGGAGTTGGTTTTGCCCACAAGCAAATACCATGCATGGCAAGTGGAGCAATGGAAAACAAAACCCCAATAGCTTTGAAATGTGGATTAATTATATATTTTATCTTTCTAGCTTCTTTTGGTTTGGGTTGTAAGTGAGATTTGTGTCTCTTTGTTTACACCATAACTTAGAATTACTCCTTTTACCATGGAGGGTGTTGTAGTTCAAGGTTTATTTTAGGATTATAAAAGAACTGGGTGAATACTTGTTATAGTTCTTATTAAATAAGATTACAGTGTTAAACCAACAGAAGTTAAGGAATAGAGAAGTGGGCATAAGGAGGCATTTATGACCAGTCACCGAGATTGTCCTAATCCCCATTGATTGAACTGAGAACCCCAGAGAACATTTCATGAACTAGTTCTGTGTGAGATAAGAAGGGTCTTTGGGTTTTTTTGTGTGTGGGGACCTGGGTTTTCTTCTAGGCTCTGCTACTACCATGGACTAATCTGAGTCCATGATATGGAACATACCCACCTGTACGTGCAGGTTTACATCTGTTGTCCTGGCAAATACTAAACAGCGTCCCCTTTCACTCTCAAAGATATCCCTGTTTGGATGATAGGTTATCTGGTCATCTTGCCTATTAGGATAGGATTCATGGCTTGCACTTCGCTAATGTTTAACCATCACAACTTATAAGGCCACTGCCTTCCTAGATTGGTAGACATATTATAGCCCACACTTTCACAGGTGTAGGTGGGAGCCATGATGTGCAAAGCAGTTGAGTTCCTAGCAGAACAGAGAGGTTGGAAAAAGTGCTTTTTCAAGGGAGGTGAATTAATATGTTCTATTAAGAAACTTTCACTGTCTTAGGGAGTATTCATTTGATTGGGCTTATTTATAAACTGGGAGACCTGGGCTTGTTTGACTACAGTGACAAAAGTATGGAACAAGTAGTCAAAGGCAAGGGCTCAAGAGAGCTGGAGAGGTGAGGTGGAATTAGGGATAGTGTGTGCTTAGAAGCAGGAAAAAGGGGACCATCAGTTAAAGAAGGCAGCTTTGCACTTTAGGCTCCTGAACTAAATAATCAAGTAACTGGCAAAATCTTTAGCTCTTGGAAGGAGTAGTAATAAGGAATGGTACTCTGTGATGTTTGTGGCCTGGCTTGAAAAGATTGACTGGGACACTGAAGCAGTTTGCTGAGGAGGCAAAGCTGAAAGAATTGCCTCATTGCAGAGAGGGGTGGAGCAGGCATGAACAGGGCACAGGTGAAGGGATGCGACAGAGCAGAGCGCCAGGAAAAGCCGAGGACTGGAGCCACTGTGCAGGGAGTGCAGAAGGGCAAAGGGAGCAAGAGAGAGAGAGTGTGCTTCTCCTCGCAACTTGCTCCCACACCGCTGCTGCTTCCCATTGGGCCCTTAGGTCTCTTTTCTTGGGCCAGCTTGAGAGGGTCTCCATTAGTTGCAACTGAAAGAGGCTGGTGAAGAAATGTCTTCACCCTTTTCTCCTGCTGTGCTCCCACAGCTTTTCTAGGTTCTTGTGTGGCACGATTTGCATTGAGAGTTTTTTCCCTAAATGAGTCAGTATCACCAGGGAGCATAGTATCCCCGAGTGCAGAGAGGAATGTTTTGGGTTATAATCAGTGTCTTTGACAGGCATTTATTGAAAGCCTGCTTTATGTTCTTTGTTGGGTACAGCATCATAAGGGGGACTGAAGACACAATTCCTTCCCTCAGGCATCTTAGGTTCTAACTGGGTGGGTAACTGTAGCATTGTAGGATATCAGTCCTCTTTTGAGAACACTCTGAGTAGGATTGATGTGGAGGAAAGCACTCACTTTTTATCCCAAAAGAAGGATTTCTTACTTTTACTAAAAAAATAAAAGTTCCATTTTTATAGACATCCAGGTCTTAAGCAATGAAGAGGTAATTTGTTCCCTAGAAATAGTGATGGATTCTGAGAATGCCAAACAAGATCTTTGAGACGAGTAATTTCCATTCAGTATAACACCAAAGAGCCTCTGTCTGGCTCTGATAGTATTACTTCATAGGTGACCCTTCATTTGCAAATAAGTAGTTGAAGCCAATCCTTCAATATTCTACATGGGATTCCTAATGAGTCTATCGTTCAGGCAATAGAAAAAAATATGATTTTGGTTTCTTAGAGTTATATGATTATCGATTCTTTAGCTGTTAATACAAAATAAATTCCCAGGATATATTTGTTTATAGGATATATATATTATTACACATTATTTTGAGTACATTGATTCATTTTGGCTCTTGTTTGTTTTAAAACTGGGAAAATTGTCATTAAAATTAAACCTGGTCTAGACAGTCCTTAGAGTTGGGAATGTGTCATTTAGGATATTATGGTATTTTCAATGGACTGTTTAAGGCTCAATGAATTATTACAGCTTTGCATAGATGCATGTGCTTTTGTACCATTTCTGTCCCTAACAGCTTACATTGTACCTGCTGATTGTGAATGTGGAATACCTAAGGATGCATACCACTCATTGAATTGGAGAGGGCACCTCTCCATTACTGCTGTGAATGTGCTGGCCAAGTTATTCGAGGTTTAATACTGTATCCCTCTTTGATTCATTGCCAAATGTGATCAACTGGGGGAGGGACATTTGAAATTTATCTCTGGCTTCTGGTCTGTGCCAATAATCCTACCCCAAAAGCTGGTCGCCAGAGTACAACAAAGAGGGGCTACAGAGAAATAAGCTCCAGTTTAGGTTCCACTTACCATTGATAACTGCCCTCTCTCCACCAAACTGGGTTTCTTAAAAGTGGATTAAAAGCAAGACTTCCTTCTTTAAAATGAAAACTTACTGAGGATAAGTGATTGTATCTTCTTGGGTTTTTAGAGACCTTTACATAGATAAACCTGGGAGATACGGGAGTTTTCATTAACATACAGCCTTTGCACACACACATACATGTGTTCACACAATGGTGTAACTATCATTTCTGTATTGTACACCATAATTATTTAATCCCAGCTTGGCTGTTGTGTCATTCAGGACAGAATGTACAGTTTATGGGCATTCATTTTCATATTAGGTAAGTCTTATATTAAAAACTCTTCTAGGGATGGGGCAGGAAATCTGCATTAATTAGAACATGACTAATTCAGAATTTGAGATCCTGGGACCAAGATGAAGACTGGTCAAGTGCGTGGGTTGAGAGCTTGACTTTGATATTCAGCTTGTCTGTTCCTTCAGTTGCTGTCTTTCATAACCTTGGACAAGACACTTAATCCTCCTAATTTTGCTTTATTTACCTATGAAGTTGGAATATAAAGCACTTACCTTGCAGGTAGGTTGTTCTTAAGTTAAAAGATCAAGCTACAGAGTTGATAACGTAAAGCCTGGGCCATGGAATGGCGGTGATCAAAATGATGCTATTGGCACTCCAGGCGTAAGCTTTGTAAGGAAGGCACCCCATCTGCTTTATTCTCCATGTATACTGTGTGCTTAGCATGTTGCCTGGCCTGTGTAAGGTCCACTATAAATATTTATTCAATATTGAATGAAGTAGCATTTCAGAGGAAAAAATTCACTGGATAAAATTTTCAAAATACTTCAGTAGTAGTTTGATACAGTGTATGCATTAACTACAAATTAACCTTCTGTTTCATTAAACAAGCCAAAGACATACGCCTCTTCACCATGATGTAGTTAGCTTGTAATGTATAGGATTTTGCTTATCCTGCAGTGTGCAGTATTTTATATATTTAAATAATAAAACTGTCAAAACCCAGTTTCTTATATTCTTAAGGAAGTTTACATGATTGTAGCCAAAATTACTGCATTTTTTTAAAGGCATTATGATAATCTGTTTTGAATTTTCTGAATTTTCTGTATTACTGACTTTTATCCAAGATAAATGAGTGTTTAGTCTATATGTAAACATCCCAGGGAAGGCCAGCTGATAGGAAAAATGCCTTATCATAAGACGATTTGTTTCTGTGTGAAACACTGGTTTTCTCCTTTTGTTTTTGATAGTCCCTCAAGTTAGGCCTGAAGAATTGAGTGCAGTGTTGGCTAGTGAAGTGAAAACCATTAAGTTTGTTATCAAGTGTTTTCAGTTTATAAAGTGAGGAATTAAGTAGTGCTCAAAGAGAATAATATGTGTGGCTGAGATAATTTTTTAAAAAGTTGTTCCTGTCGTTAGTTCTCAGTACTCTTCTTATACAGTGATATCTAAGTCAAGAAAAGGTGCAGATTATTGATTTGGTGCTAGAGTGTTCTTCTGGAGGCCACACCTTTTCCCCTTAACTTAAAATACAGGCTTAGTTGCTATCCATAAGCATTGCAGTAGGGGTATTGACCTATTTCATGTTGTTTGTTTGGAGTAAGCCACCAAAAGTAAATATATGTGCAAGGACTAAATGTCTTTTTGACATGTAAATTTCAAGTTTTATAATTTTAATCCAATTCTTAAAGAGGCAAGAGTGGATGAAACCCTTAGCCCTGAGTTTGATGGCCATCACATAAGGTGTCATTGGGTGTCTGACAATCCCCGCTTCCACACCAACTATGAAGCAGTCATGTTGGAAGTTATTTTGAATCACCACAACCTTCTTGCACGATATGAATGTCAACTTATGAATGGAGGGGGTGATATTCACGTAAGTGAAAATCAGAATGAGGCTTTGGGAATAAATAATCTCAGAGCATCTTATTGGCCCCATTTACTCAGCTTCTCAGCAGTCTGTTTTCACTCACAACTGACAGTCATTATAGACCACATGGGATTTAGAGTTTTAATGGTTTGTGATTACTGTGAAGTTGGATAACATATTCTCTAGGATTTTACTGAAAATTTTGTTTAATTATATTTCTTTCCATAAAATATTTATCTAAAAATGTTCTTTACTAAACCTGTTCTTGATATGTGAAATTGTTTTCAATGCAGAAAATTCTAGGTATTCTAATATTTTAAAAAAGGAACTTAAGTTTGAGACAGTTTGATATTTGCAGAAAGCCACTGTGTGAGAATATTGGTAAAGTCATCATTCAAACTTGATTCCTTGGGAATTTGTATGTATATGTGGATGTTTGTGTTAAGAACCAACTCAACTAGTCCAAGAGAAAGTCACTAGCAGAAATGGAAGAAAATTAGGGAAACTGAGATACTGTCAGTTTTTTTCTGATTCATAAATAAGAACACTGATATGCTTTAAAATGCTTTTTTTAAGTGCTTAAAATGTTTTAATAATTACTTGAACTTCTGTATATTTAAAGTAATGCCAAGGTGCTTAGAAATGCTTTACTAGTTGCATTTTTGTTTAAAATCCTTGATTTGAATGAATAAGGATTTGAGTGGTGATTAATTGAATTCCTATAGCAAGAGATTAACCTGAAATTTATTTTTATTTACTGTAAAAAATACTGAGTATGCTGACCATTCTTGTGCACAATTGAATCTTTGATTTGGAATTTGCAGTGCTGGTATGGGGAGGAGGGAGGTGTGTGATAGAAAAGGTATAACTACTAACACTTGATACCATGTTTTCCTTGAGGAAATGGGAGTCAGAGAGACTGACTGCACAGGTACTGTGTGGTGCCCAGAATGTTCTAGAGTGACCCATTAAGAAAAGAAAACCATCATGAGAAAGACATTTCCAATATTAGCCTATTTTCTTGGGATTTGTCTTTGTTTTAAAAAGACAAAAATAAGTAGCTAATGGAGCATATTAAAATCTTGGGCATCCTTAGTGATTCTTTGCTCCTCAAAAAGAATTATATGTAACAGGATTCGCTAAAGGTGATTTAATATTTAAAAATTGCTTATTTGTAAATTTTAAACAACTTCAGGAACAGAGATTCTTATATAAGTATTTGGATTTTATGAGGTTTTAGTTCATTTAAAACCACATAAAATTGGATGGGTTAGTTTTTCGGAAATGTTGTGTACTCTAAAATATTTGGAAGGGGACATATTCAAACTATTATCTAAGGTATCTTTTTTGACACTTATAAGGACTGTGCTGGCTTTCAGAAGTTGCTCTCTAATCTCTTGCTTGTTTTAAATGTTTTCACAGTTCCTTAAAAAAAAAAAAAAGATGGGATACATTTATACCAAACTGGTTTTGCCCCTAAAATAAGACAATGTCTTTCTTGAACTTTATGCTCTGTACCTGTTCACGTGGGCATTGTGAAAAAATTAAAGTCATTTGAATGGTTCTTTTTTCCCTCTGGATTAAGCCTTTGTCCTTTGCCTTTAGCTTTATTTACAAAATGAAGAACTTTGAGAGAAATGGTAGGGTATTTCTTTGACCCCCATCCCCAGTGTTTTGGATGTTTCCGTATTAAGTACGTGTCTTACGCCCCTGGCATCTCCAATTAGAAACTCTTCTGAAAGCTCAGTTTGTCCACTTGTGGGTCATTTTATAGTTGTGTTTATCTGACACCATGAATTTTTATTTTTATTCTAAGCAAAGCATGCCACTGTCACTGTGCTTTGGCACTGTGTCACATCTTAACTTGGTTATTTTGAGGGGCACACACCATACTGCTTTATGACAGGACCCCGATTAAAGTGTGGAGTCAGAAGGGTCATATATGTTTGTTCATGCTGAAATAAGGAAACAGCTTTGATTAATGCAGAAAGGTCAACTTCAGTGGTAGAGCAAATTCTCTGAGATTTCAGAGGCCATCTGCTAATGGATTTGTGCAGATACCTGCTTGTGTGCTGCGTGCCCCTAGTTAACCAGGGTATGAGGGGACGTTGGGTATGTTAACTTAAAACTTTTTTCTTTTTTAGGTCCACAACTCCCAGGCCTGTTGCAGATCTCCAACTCCTGCTTTGTGTGACCCCCCAGCATGCTCTCTGCCGGTGGCATCACAGCCACCACAACATCTTTCTGAAGCCGGGAGAGGGCCTGTAGGGGTAAGGAGAATCCCGTTTTTAAGAGCTATCAATATTTTATATCCCATAGGGTATAAAATAGGAATATTACCTCCCTCCCCAAAGCCCCTTTAAAAATGTGCTGTATTGTATGTGTTTTTAAAGGAGTAACAAGTACATGCACAGAGGAAGCAAAATACGGGACTTGCCTTACCCCTCTAGGACAGTTCCAGAAGTTAGTGGGGTTTGGTGGTGTGTAGGGTATTTTGGCACCAGCAGAGAGCATGCTAGGCTGCTGCAAGGAGCAGGAGCTGGCAATCAGCAGCGAGTATGGATGTTGGCAACTGAAATGGGGAAAAAAGGGGGTAAGTTTGAGTCCAAGTGTGGAATGTGCATTTTCCCCAGGAGCACTGGGATTCATGGCCCATGAATCTAAACTAATTTGGGTGCTGTGCTGTCCTTTCAGGTGATGTTTTGTAGAATGTTGCTTGGAAGTAGCTGGGCTTTTCTGCAATGCCAGATATAGAATAAACACTTTGAAAGGCTTGGGTTGGGGTGTAGATATAGTGCCCTCAGCTATACCCTGATAATTTCCTCTGTTACCTAGTGGTAATGTGGGATGTGTGTAAGATGTAGCTGGATGAAATGTCTTGAGTGCTTTATTCCCTTAGTACACAGGGCCCAGTGTTAGTGATCCATGAGGGTTGTTTTTTTGTTGCATATCTCCCCTTTTATAAAAGTGGTGTATATACCCATCTTCCTTCCTTTTTGGGGATTTAATGGTGAAGTTTTCTGAAAGACAGGTGTATATTGTTCTCATGAACTGCTGTTAATCACTGAAGAAGTTGAAGATCTTTCTCATGTTGTATGTAATCTCACTGTGGGGCTCAAACTTATACTCAATTAGAAAATAACACAAGAGAATAGCCATCACACATGGACACGTACCATACAAGATATTGGCAATATATACTGAATTGTTTGATTGTAGTATAGAATATTTATATTGTAAGACTAAGAAAAGTGAGTGCTCCAAATGGGCCGTACACTTGGGAAAGTTTTGTGACGTAGGTAGGTTTTGAGGAGCTGGGTATGTTTTTGATGCATCAGTAACATGTGGACAGGCAGAGTGGAGGAGCCTTCCAGGTGTACGTGTCAGCCTGTCTCTGTGAGCCACATAGGCCATGAGCCTGGTGAAGCTGGGAGTTGTGAGAAGATGACTGCAGGACATCAGTGAAGAGCACAGGTTAGTGGGTCGTGGGAGGCAGAGGTGGGGAGATAAAATGGGACCAGATCATGGAAGCTCTTACAGGTCAGACAAGGCAGGATTTTGTGTGATAGGCAGAGGAGAGCCTTTGCAGGCTTCTTTATTCCAGGCAAACCAGTTTGCAAATCCCTGCTTAAGAAGATTGATTGGGTAGCAGTGTGGAGTGGGGAATAGCTGAAAATTCCAGGTAGGTGGTGAGGGCTGACCTCCACTTGGAACACTAGGAGGACCAAGACAACAGAGGTACTGGGAGAGTGATAATTGTAACAAAACCAGGATTAACCACAATGGCAAGGTCACATTTGGTAGTTGCTGCTGTAATTCATCAAGAAATTAGACCAGAAAAAGGGCTAAAATTATGGAAGCCTTGGAATTTTGATATCATGGCCATTCACAGTGGAATGTAAAACGCAGCATAGTGGATAAAAGTCTAATTTTAATCCCTGGAGAGAGAGATATTGACATCTTAAGGGATAATTTAGCAGAGTCCAGGCTTGACTACGTACCTCAAAAGCTTCAGCTTTTACCATCACTATCTTGTTTCCACATTCATTCTAAAAAATGGTTTCTATCTTTCAGGCCAGTATTTCCTTATGTTATTCTCTAATCAGTGTCAATGTCATTGTTAGACTCACTAACCAGGATTTGCTGACTGGATTTTATGTTTTGCTCATAACAACATTGATTTTTAGTAAACTTTTTATATTAGCATTAGTGGTGACCAGTGTTTATTTTTTTAGGAGTAAAAGTATTGTGTCCACTGGGGTCTTGAATAAGTTTATGACTGGTGGTGCACTCAGATACCATCATTTGTAGGTTTGAAAGATTCTGTAATAAGATGATAAATCTTCTCTCAGTCAAAATGATGCTGCATGAGGCAAACTGTATTGATTGTTCTATAACAGCGCTTCATGTTGCCAAAGTCATTTGAGCTGGATCTGAATTGGATCCAGTTGGCAAAGCTTTCCCCCATGTGTGCAGCTCTCATCAATTCTGCAGGCACACAGATCTAACACAGTGTAATGAGAGAGCTGCTGGGAGAAAAAATTGATTACAGGGTTGCAGACAATATCATTAGCGTTTCTTGCCATGATACACCAGCTGTCTTCCCTAATAGACTATTTTTGTTAATTTAGTTTTTATAGGATAGCTCTGACTGCATCATAATTTTCACTCCATATCCAGGTATATGTACTCTGTGTTTCTTCTGCACTAATGACGACATCAACTTGTAAGATTTAATTTATAAATTTTTTACTTATCTGTTCATTTTTTCAAAGTATTTGCTGAAAAGGCAACATTTTTACTTGTTACTGAGAATCTGTTAGCTTGGATGTTTTCTAGCATAAAGTACTGAGTTTACTGGTAGCTAGGGATAGTGAGGGAGGAGAGAAGGCAGAGAAAACATTGCCCAGACTCTCCCTAGACTGGGTGGAGAAAAGCCCTTTCCACTCCAACTGCTCCCAGAATCTGGTGGTTTAAATGGCTCAATAGAGACTCAACCCAAGGCAGAAAAGGTACAGCTCCTTACAGGGAACTTCAAATGCAGGTTCATTTCCATCGTGTTGCCAGCAGCTCTGCAGGCTGGCACTCTGGTTGAGTGCCCCTACCCTCTTGCTCACTAGGACGTCTAGGATCAGTTAGGGTATTCTGTTGTTTAGCATTTTTAGTTTTTGTCTTTTTGTGTGTTTAAGACCTCTATTAAGTGGCAAACAAATGTAAATAAGACAGTACTATAATAATGAATTGAGCTATTTTATTTCAATTATTTAAGTTTTTAACTACTAGTTTTTGGCATATTCATCAAGAATTAGAGCAGAAAAAGGAGAACTTTTAAGAGAACTTTTTCCCCCTCTTAACATGTTCCTGTGTAACATAGGACACATTAATTAGTCTTTCTAACATTGTTTTCTCACTTATAAAATAGGTATGATACTCCTACCTCAAGGGTAGTTGCAAAGATTAATGAAACAATTCATTACATTGCTTGATGTGATGTTAAGCATACAATAAGCATTCAGTAAGCATTATCTGTTATCACATAGACTTAGTTTTACATATTCAGGTTTTAAATAATTTATATTTTCTAGATATTCTTAATCTGAGGTCCATAGGCCTCTAGGTAGTCTCTCTGAGTTTAAGAGGCTTTCTGAACTTCTTATATGTATGTGCACTTTTCTGGAGAGAGTATATTTTCAACCATGAATACTAATCAGTAAATTCCTAAAATGTTAGAAAAAATTGAAAAATTAAGATTAAGAACTGTTCTGTAAAGTCTGTATTGAGTCATTTAAAACCGCAGACCAGCTAGCTGTTTGTTTAGGAAGCATACTAGTATTGAGCACTTACTTTGTGTCCAGGCACTTTGTTACTCTTTTCATATCTTTAACATCTCCATGATATTCTGTGATATTTTTTTCACTTTGCAGATGGGAAAACTTGAGGTTTATATTTGCACAACATCTTGCCGTTTGTGAGTGACAGGACTGAGGTTTAACCCGGTAACCCATGTTGGCCTTGGGTATCTTCTTTGCTCTCATGGCTGACTTCGGTACTTCCTGGATGATCCCTGCCATGATGCCAGTCTTTACCTCCAGTCTCTGGAGAGCTCCTGAACTAACATGCTCCTCTTTCGCTTGGTAGAGTAGAAGACTTCTGTCACTGCGATTTTTCCAGCCTGGCCTTTACCCTGAATGAATGGACAGTGGTATTAGCAGTGTGTGAGAGGACCATTTTAGTGTCAGTAAATTTTGCTTTGCTGTTAGTGGTTTTGGTAGTCATTATCTTTAGTGACCCATTGTTTAGAAAGTGCATGACCAACAGACAGCTACTGTGAGATCCCTTTCCATTCATCTTAATAGCATCTGTATACATTTGAAAAATAATTCCTGTAGTCTGTTTTGTTTGTTAGTCTGTATGTATTTGTTTCAGGTAAATCTTTGTGCATGCAAGAAATAGGGCTTAGTTTGCATCCCTTAAAGTAAATCCGCTCCACTGATCTAGACAAACCTCCCCATTGATACAGGGCAGGAAGCTGGGGCCCAGTGGCTTTCCCCAAATCCTCTGCTTCATGAGGGGCAGCTCAGGCTGGAGGCCGAATCTCCTGGGCCTCTGGTCAGTGCTCTTTGTACTATTCTTTCCTACCTTCCTTGAGCCATAACAGATGTTCTTACACTAGCCCATGCAGTACATTGCTTCTCTAAAAGCTGAGATTGCTTTGCTTAATATCCAGCTTAACCTTTTGTGACTGTATCTCACACCAGTGTTAAAACAGTATTATGTTTTGCTTGTATAAAGCATTTATCATTTTTAAATAATTTTTTATTGAGGTATTATTGATATACACTTTCCTGAAGGTTTCACATGAAAAACAATGTGGTTAATACAATCACCCATATTATCGAGTCCCCCCCATTACCCAATTGCACTCATTGTCCATCAGTGTAGTAAGATGCTAAAGTCACTACTTGTCTTCTCTGTGCTACACTGTCTTCCCCATGATCCCCCACACACGTGTGTACTAATCATAATACCCCTCAATCCCCTTTTCCCTCACTCCCCACTCACCCTTCCTAACCCCTACCCTTTGGTACCACTAGTCCCTTCTTGGGTTCTGTGAGTCTGCTGCTGTTTTTTTTCCTTTAGTTTTGCTTCGTTGTTATACTCCACAAATGAGGGAAATCATTTGGTACTTCTCTTTCTCTGCCTGGTTTATTTCACTGAGCATAATACCCTCCAGCTCCATCTGTGTTGTTGTAAATGGTAGGATTTGTTT